AGGCGATTTTAAACTAAAAAGGTTAAAGAAGCATACACGTTACTTTGGGACTGGGCTGAAAGAAACCTCCCAGTTCTGCTCATTATGGAGCCCAGGACACATACAAATCTTTTCTCATCTGATTTCTCAGAGTGTCTGGCTGCCACCATTGCACCCACTGAGATGGTACATTGATGATTGGCTGTGCAGTACATCTAGTCAAGCACATTGTCTCCTCCAAGTCCTTTTTGCACATGTTTCAGATGCCACCACATCCTTGTATGAGACTTCAGAGTAGCATAAGCCCATGTTTTACTGAAGTTTTCAACACATAGTCGGAGAAGGGAAGGATTAGTGGCTGTTCTACCTGCCTTTTTTCAACCCCAGAGTTTTCAGAAGAATGCAAGGGGTTTTCAAGTGTTTCTTAATACTCAGTTATCTGACCCACTGGTTAACAAAATGCAGGGTGCTCCATGTTCTTCTGCAGGAAAATATTTACAAAGCAGTGTGTCATTTGGTGACCTTTGCTTCTCAGATACAGAGAGGTTCATGATAAATAAGTCAAGGGAGTCATTGCCAGCTCATAACTTGAAAAGCATCCTTTCAAACCCTGAAGAAAAGAAGTTTTGCATTTGGAGACACACAGATAATGATGGGGGTCTCAGCCAGCATGGGATGTGTATGACTGGGATCACAGGCAGATGTGTGATGCGTCAGCTCTGAGCCAGGCTCAGCTTGGAGCAGGCAGGCAATATTCTAGATCTTCTTGCAGAAGCATTTGAGCTTTCCAGTGTTTTCACTCTCATTTTCAGGATGAAGTATCTGCCCTGAAGGCAGTGGGATTTCTTCGCTGGATTTGATGGCGCCTCATGAGTGTGACAGCAAGTGAAAGAAACAGAAAGATTTCACATTCACCTCACATCAAAAAAAAGCAAACCACATTTTAAGTACTTATTTTCCTTCTGGAGATCTCTGCATTGGGTAGTAGTTTCTTTGGAAAGTTTTGAAAGAGAGTGAGGTTGTTGGTTACATTCTTACAGCCCTCCTCATACATTCTCCACGGTGTCAGGACAGATCTTGTAGCACATTACAGTCATGGCTGCAGTCTCCCCTAAATTACATCCTCTGCAACCTTCCCGAATCCAAGGATTTCCTTCAGCGGAGTGTGGTTCCCTGTGTTCTTGTGAAGTCTCAAGTGGGAGGCAGCAGTCACGCAGAGCTGCTCAAAAGATTGTGAAGGAAATGTGTTCTGAAGAGAAATCAAAATCAACATTTTCCAGGAAGAAGGCCGATTTTGTGTGTTTATTGTCATTCCTAAGGTACTTCAGGCTACCTTTTGATTAATATATCTGAATGAATTATCTTGGCTCTGGAAGAGGATTTTGGTTGCCTTTGGTTAATGCTGTGCTATAAGATGCTGAAATACTGCACAGACGACTGAGGCAGACATCAATAGTACAGAGGAGAAGCAAAACTTTCCATTTCACTCAAGACAAAAGCTTTCATCTGCCTCAAACTAACCTCTGAATACTTTCTTCCCTCAAAAGCTGAGCTGTTTCAACCCCACATCCCACCCTAAGAGACATGGAAGAGCTGGATCTGCATCCATTACTCACTCATTGCGTAGTGTCGTTTACCATGATTACTGTGCCCATTATTCACTCGTAGTCTTGGGTCACTGCTCTCATCCTCTGCTGGTCTATGCATGCTGAATTCCCCAGCAGATGGGGCATCTGACATCTCTCCGTGTGCTCAGCTGAAATACAGTAGCCTGTAGCAGAGGGAATGGGCTTTGGTCAGTGTTTCTATACTCAGTAAGGGTCTGGGACCAAGCATTTAGTCTCAGTGCAGCAAAGTGCAGACTGCATGATGTCCTCAAAAGGATGATGAAGATTCAAACTGAAGGCAGTTGGAAGCCCTCTGTTGTAATCCACAAGCAATAACAAGAACCAAACCAAACCAAAATGAAAAAATCAAAGCCATCTTCAGTGCAGATAATTTACATTTTTTCTGATTTAAAAATTGTAAAGGGAATTTAAAAACTCATTTGAATCAGGATATTTGAGATTTGTTACTTGGAATTATTGCTGGACCATGCTGATGGAAAGACTTGGGTTGTTAAGAATGCCTACAGGAAGAATTGTTTGTTATGAATATTGTATTTCATTAACAAATCATTGTGAAGCCAGCCTTAGTCTCCAAATTGCTTAAGAACTCTCAATTCCAGATATTCATCCCAGTGTAATGTGGTTAACCAGATGGATGTGGACCAGGATCAGATGAGAAGATACGTTTAAGCAGTAAAATAATGGACAATGAATAACAAACACACTTCCATACTCTATTGGTCTGACACACAACCACCTAATTGCTTTCTTCTGTCCCTAGTCAGTAACTTAGTGCTTTTATCTGCATTTTTTGAACATGGGGATATTTGACTAATTCTGCTTTTAGTGCAACATATCTGCATGATATAAATTGACTTCAGTTAGCAACAAGATGTTCACAAGGTGGTTTAGGTTAGGTGTGCCATAGTGTGCTTCTCACCTTTGCCTTTGATGCAATATATGTCAGATTTTTTTTACCGTGGGCTTATTACACATCATCTTTCTATTTTCCTAAGCTTTTCTCTGTGTAAGGGGTAAGAGAAGGAAAATAAAGAGACTGAGAAAGGCCTGTCTTGAAGGGCAGAATTTAACCTGAAGTGAATTTGAAGAGGGAACTGTGTGTGTGTGAAGAAATAGAGCAGCCAACTACAAGAGATTTTAGCATGTTAGAATAAAATACATAGACTCCAATACAACTAGCAAATAGATGTTCTTTCCTTTGACTGTTCTTTTTTTTCAGTAGAAAAATAACATTTGGAAGCATGCATCTAAGCTCTCCTGAAATCAGTGCATCTACTCTGGTTTGTGGCACTCACCGATACAACGTGATCTACATGATAGATTCAGGGCAGTTGGTAAAAAGTTGCTCAAAAATGCATTAAGTTTTTCTTCTTCCTTTTTGATTTTTCTTTAATTTTCAACATGTATTTAAACATGGATAAAGTGAATCGCACGCAGATCCAGGATGGAGTTTCCAGCCTGAAAAACAAAGATCAGCATTTGGTATTGCAGTTAACCACAGATAAAATTCAAATTTGTAACACTTCATTTAGCAGAGTATTAACCCCTGGGGAAGTGAATGGGAGACCTTCAGTGAACAAAACTCCTCAGTGTAGAGTAGGTAAAAATATATCTCCACCAGTTTTGCCCCTGCATCTTACAATGGCGTGAAGGTGACCAGCCCAGCTCCAATACGTTTGTTTAACTTGCTCGGCATTAATCAGAGCACTCTGGGATTAATAATTACTTAATCAAATAATCGCTTCGTGACTCCAACACTATCTTTTTTTTCCTTCAAGCAGGCTGGAAATAAGAGCCGTGAATATGTAAATTGGAACTGATTAGAGGATTAGGTTTCACTCTTTTTTTTTTTTTATTATTTGGAATAAAAACAGCCTGCAGATCCCTCTAAGCCAAGCCATGGCTCTGAATTACAACACTAGCGCCTGTCGGCTGTGATAATTTCACTTCATTAAGTTCCAGATATAAATAGAGAAAGTTTCTTATTTTTTTTCCATGCACCACCTTTAATAAGCATGGACTGAAAACACAGGGGTTATTGATCCATGCAGCTATTGGGTCTTTGCAAGGCCGGGGTAACAGTGAAAGAAGACCAAACACCTTCTACCTGTTGGCTGCTGCAGCCAGGGACAATCCATCTCTGTTGAGTCCATTTTAAAGCTTTTGCTGAAACTGCCAGAGAAGCATTGCAAGAATGGAAGTGTCAGCCTCGCCATTCATAGCAATGCAAAACAAACACGCCTGATAGGCCACGACAGCGAGAAATGTCAGCAGGACCATGCCAGGATTCCACGGGTAGATGCCTGATGCTAAGCACCTCTGTAAGGTCATCCCAAATAACTGAGCTGAACGTGCTAAGCAACCTTTGTGCATCCCTGGAAGTCTTCCTAGGAAAAGGACATTCTTTATACACTTTCCCCTGTAATATACAAGACTGTGATTTTTAAAAGCCTCATCCACAGGCCAGGATATGGCCCACATCCAGTAACGTTTTTAGCCATGGCATCCTCTCATATCCACTAGGTCTAAGAGGGTTTGCATTTTTGATTTATACATGCTTGTCAGTAAATCCATCTCTGGGATCCCTACCACAGAGTAGGGAGCTCACAGCATCATGAGCGACATGGACCATTCCTTTACTTTGTGACTTACAGATTGAGTCTCGGATATGTAAAGCTGAAAGTACTGTACTGCAGCTCAGAAAAGAATTCTGTGGCAGAGCAGAACCATTATTTTCTCAGAATTCAAGGATAATGTTCTTTCTTTTCATGAATTTGTGAATGTCGTTTAGGTAAGGATGCAGAATAAAAGGAAGTTCTTGATTTTGCACTAGAAATAAAACTCCCTTTGCCATAAATAAAAAAAGAAGCTGGAAGGTGGGGGATTTCTGGTGCTACAGCTCTTAAGGACAAAGACTCTCCACCATAGATACTCTGATGTGATTAGATTGATTTCCATGGCCTGCTGAAAGGAATAATTCTACCAGATGAAACACTAAAGTTCATCCTGATCCCAGCTAGCAGTATACTGTGGGAATGCCCTGGAGCCTCATGATGTCTACAGCGGTGCCTATGTGTGCAGTGGGATGGGATGGGATGAGATGGGATGGAGGACATCTCACCTCCCTTTTTTGTGGGACCATTACATGGCCTGAAAACAGTCACAAACCTACACCAGGGCAGGTGCTGGGTTTGTTTGAGGTGGATATGCAAACACCCAAGAGCATGGTGCCTGCTTGTGCAGTGGCTGCGAGGAGACAGTAAAGTCTTGTGAAGGAGAAATGGAGTGAAATACTTGGCTGGTTGCTCATATTATGTAAATTCAGGCTTGAAAGCTTTAAGTATTTTCTTTTAAACCTCACACACGTGGGGCTTGCTGGGTATTCCTGACTGGTGGAATTAGGAGGGCTTGCAGCTCTGGAGTAGAAATCTAGCCACTCCGTCTGATACTTACAAGCATCTTGCAGGTTGTGTGTGCTTTGCAGACATTTTGTGATAGTGATTTTCTGTAAATGAAATTAAAAAAAAAAAGAGAATTTAATTATTTTTTTAAAAAAAGAGTAAAATAAAAAAGTAAAAAGAAGGAAAAAAAATAAAAGCAAAATCATTGCTGTGAAACTGCAGCACTGCTCAGAGAAACCTTGATGCTTTTACCAGTATGGCCAGGTACTTCAAGGCTAGGTGTGCTCAAAATTGAAGTCTAGGAATTAGAGAACACAAACTTCATTTATTCAAGAGCAACTGGAAAACGGGACTGTGTTTCCATGGAGATGGGGGTTATTTCCTTTCCCACAATTCAAATCTTTTCCACAGGTCCTGTTTCTTTCTGGTCACCCGAAGGTTTTGTTGAGGAGGATTTTTCAGGTTTGATCTCAGGAGTTGGCCAAGCTCCAGGCAGAACAATGAAAAAGTCATAAATCACTTTAATAGATATAACAAGAGGAAAGAACCAGAAGGGAGAGAAATGGAGGGACTGAAATATGGCAGTCCCAGCACATCCATCAAACACAGAATACTCTTGTTGAGGTACAGGAGAAGACAGCAATTAAAACAAGCTCAGACCTGCTGTAGTGCTTTAAGAGCTCTCATGCCTGAGATGCTGTTCAGATTTGTGTATAAAATACGTATATTGAAGTTTTCTCCCAATTCTGGTGCTAGGGAGTGTTCTGTGCTTAACTACTATCACATAACATTAAGCTGACAAGGCCTAGAGCTGCTTCACCAACTCAGGGCTGTTTGGAGGTGGGATTCATTCCAGCTACCTTCAAACATCAGAACCATCTCTGTAGTGCCTAGGGAAAGACATATTTGTATATTCAGCCCCATCTAAGATAATTATCTTCAGAAGGTGGTGGCAAAGATCATAGGATGGCTGGGGTTGGAAGAGACCTTTAAAGATGATCTAGTCCAACCATGCTCTCCAAGATGGAGAACCCCTGTAGGTATTAAATGAAACCTAGGGGTAAAATACCTTCCTGAACTGTGTACAAGTAGACAATGCATGTTTATTGGTCTCAGAAAGTCAAATAGATAACAAAGCAATAGTGATACTCCTTATACAGTGCCCATCACCTCAGTGAGCAGTTACATTGCTCATTGGCAGTGCAGCGTGGGTTGTTCAGGCACGTCATATTAAGTGTTGTGTCTTACTTACACATAGTCTACAAAACCTGGGTGCCTCTGCCTGCTTCAGCCACTTGCAGCTTCTAGTGATATTAGTAGAGCTCCGTAGCAGGTGCCTAGAAAGACAGTTTGGTTATTATAGTACAACCATGCCCCTTTCAACAAAGATAAAATGGGTTTGTAATCATTTTTAGCAACATACAGAGGACCAGAAATTACAGAGTTTATGTGGGGAATAGTTTTTGTTGAAGACTTTTTTTCTCATCTCTCCTCTAAAAGCACAGTACACACAGCTTTCCTCCTGCAAAGCTGATAAATGGTTTAGCCATTATTTAAAGTTTGGGAAAAGGCAGCTACAGAAATAACATTTTAATGTATTCCAGATTAGACTTCATGCTATATTTGTAATAAAGACTTGTTTCCAACACTGGTTGGCAGATCACTCATACGGACAATTATCCAAATAGCTATTAGGATACGATTGCGCTCATTTCCAGGCAATGCAAGGTTGCCAGAACTCAGCTTGGCTGGCGGGTGGATTTTGGTTTGACTTTTGGAGAAAACCACAAGAATTTGTCAGTCGTCTTGGCTGTAAGGGAGTCTTCTTGTCCTGAGGCTATTCTTTTTCCTCTTCAAATACAGAAGGCAAGACATGCTCTCGTTTGGTTTGGGTTCCTCTGTATTTATTCTGTTATCTCTCACCTTAGAGGCCTCGGGAGGAGAAGACTCAGATGTGCCTAGGTTAGGAGGTGAGGGACCTCTCCCGTCGTTCATAGAGAAGAGGAGGATCAGTATGGGAAGAGCACATGTATCCTGGAGGATAAAAGCTGAAAAGAAAATCAAAGGTAATGAATTTCTTTATGGGGGGAAGGGAGCTTAAGGGAGGGAATACTTAATGCCAAGCTAAATCAGTGTTAGATGGGAATGGAGACTCCCTCTCTATGCATTATGCTAATGTGTCGTTTGGCAGATCTGAATCATGCTGGCTGGTTTAGTCAAGAGCTTGAGTCGAAGAACACCAACTCCCTCAGAAGGAAAAAGATCTCTTTGTGCCAGGGAACATGTTCTGTGGTGAGATGATGTAATTGTTTAAGTCATAGATGCAGTGGTCAGGAAGCTTTTTCATATTGAAAGATAGGTAGGTCCACAATGGTCCATGAAACTTCCAGTAGCTCCAACCATTCCTGTTTCTAGAGCTTAGAACAGAAACAGGTTCATTGTGTATTGCCAGTCTAGCGTGGGTGCTGCTTAAGGCCAGCAGACAGAGGTTGGGTTGCGGTGTGTGTCTCTATCTGAGACTTACAATAGTGCATTTCACGACCTTAAAGAAGGTGCTTCAGTGATGATGCTCAGTCTTCTTCCCTTTGTAAAACACACATAATAAATCTGGAATCAAATCATAAGCATTGCACTGTTGAGATAAAATTTATGGAAGATAATGTGCTCCTTGTGACAAGAGGATACTTGATAAAAGATCCAAAGCTTTGTTCTTCTCTATTTCTATAATCAGATAATATAAACACATCACATTAACTGCAAGGAAGTACCAACATGTATTGGTATATAAATATGTCTTTATACATAAACATGTATATAAATCTCTTTCCAATCTGTGTTTATCAAGGAGATGGTTCAGGACTAAAGCATCTTCTTTCTCATTTGCTTGTCATGAATGACACTGTATACTGTAGATTATAGTTGAACAGTGGAAACACTGCTTCAAACGCAGTCAGGCTGCTGAAAATGAAAACATTTTAAAGGACAAGAATATCACAGGCCCTTTGTTAAAAAGCAATCTCAGGATCTTCTCTGAGCTCCAGTTGGGTCTCCTTCTAAAGCCTTTTCTGTGGGGTGAATACTACAACATTTCATGTCTAGAAACCCTTTCTTGCTGGCTGTGCTCCAGCACAATAACTGCACCAAAAGGGCTGAGGCATATCCTACCAATGGAGCAGAAAATTGCTTCAAGGCTAATAGCAGTAACACCTTGGCGAGGCAAACTCTGTAATTAGCAATAAAGCAGCACCCATGCCCAATAGGGCTATTGTGCCCCATACACGATTCTGCTCTTTGGTGCAAAGGGGAAACGTGTGTGTGAGTGAGAATGAGTCTACAGAGGTAATCCCCATCCAGTATGTTAATGATGAATGTGCTGCAGTTGGCATAAAGTGGAGCCTATGCCAAGATGAGGCCCTCTTGTTCCTTCCAATCCCCCCATCTACCTTCTCCCAAACACCACATTATATTTTTAGCATTTTTATTTTCTTGGAAAAATATATAAACTGCAGTTATAAAATGTGTTTAAACAAATGAAATGGAGCTAGCAGGTGTACAGAATGGCCTAAAATGCTTCCCATGGCTGCAGTTAAAAAACAAAAACTAAACTTAAACAGTTCCATAGTGGAAAAAAAGCCCTGTAGGTAGAGTATATAAATGTCATTTTGTCACACTGCACAGTCACTTTCAGTTTCAACTCCTCAAATCCACCTCGTTCTGGGTTTGGATCTTCATTTCTCACCCAGATTAAAGGGGTTAATTCGCCTGTTGCCATCTATGGGGAAATCAAAACCCAGAAGTGCCACTATTTTACATTCCAGGATCCCTAGCACATCACGGGGAAAGCTAATCTGCAAAGCTGTGAATGCATTCTCTTATTTACTATTTTTGTCATCTCCGTGTTGGATCTGGAGAAGACTTGGGCTCAGTTTGGAGATTATTTATCTTCAAGATTTAATTTTTAGTAGAATAGAGCTGCATTTACGAGTTTAATCAAAAGCAAAGGACTTCTGGCAGCGCACATGAAAATATAAGCACATATATATATAGATCTGTATATATGTATGTACACATATAGAGAGGATGTCTGTCCAGAATTTATAATCAAAATACACCATTAGCCAAGAGACGGGCGGCTATGTGGAGAAAGAAAATAATTCATTCTAAGTAGAGCTGGAAATAGAGTTTTGCATTGTACTTGTGCTGCCTGGTTTGGTGGAAAAGCTATAGGAAAGGGAATATTTGAGAGGTTAAAACTGAACAGATTTTAGCTTCTTTTCACCATCTGAATGCTCAGAGGAGTAAATACATTGAATTTTGGGTAAGGCCCATCACTAGCTCCTTGTAGCAATCGCTGAGGAATTTTAGCATAGGGAAGAAGTAGCCTTTGATTCAACAGTGAAAAGTGACATTTTTATGTCTGGTTCTGAACATTTCTCTCTGCCTACCTAAATGTTGATAAAATGTTTGTTTCCTAAAATAGTCCCCATCTCAGAATCTTTTTTATTCTATTTTTGCCTCCGTCTTTGTTTCTTTCTTGCTCATAATATGGGGAATCGTTTTTCTCTATGTATATGCCATTTGAATTCTGTCCACTTGAAACCGAGATCAGGGTCATAGCAAGATATTTTGCTGTCCTGCAGGCAGCAGTTCCATGCTGTCCTTTAAAAAGTTACTCAGAGAAGGACTGTACAAGTTCTGTAGGGAGCTCATAGCCCTGGAGGTAACAGTTACTCAAAGCAAGTTTCTTGGTTCAAGAAGCACATTTGAGCCTATTTAGCATCTCTCTTGCTTTGGTTTTGCTACCACCTCCTAAAAGTGGCTTTGTTGCAGGAAGCCTCATTCTAGACACAAAGCCCTAATCCATTTTTAAGATTCCTCTTTGCAGTGTTCCATGGGGCAGCATGGTCCTGTACCACTCCAGAGCTCCCTTTCCTTCCAGCAATCAAGGATCACAAAATACATCTTTGTTAAATTAAATAAACCCTCGCTTTTTTTTCCATAGGGAGTTACTCAGCGGGCAATGAAACGTGGCACATCCCCATTTCCAGTCTTTCTGAAGCTGTTTGGTTCTGTAAATACATTGTTTTAATGCACAGATTTAATTCAGGATTAAAATTCATTAAAACGCATTCCCATCTCCATTCATTTGTTTAACGTCCTATTTAACTCTGACAAAAATGTTGGATTATTTATTTTTACAGGGATTAAGCTTACCTGTGTTATTAAATCAATAGGGATGTAATTGTTTTGGCTAATTAAAACTTTTCAAATGAAAACCACAGTCTGAGCATGTTCCTGATTACTGTAGTTGTCTGAAATGTTTGGTTCAAATCCTTGGTCCTGTTTTTTGAACACCCACCGTTCCCCTGGCATGTTCATTTCAGAGTGATTCTCCAGCCCTGTGCAGTGTGCTGATACCAGTGTGTTAACATGCCATGCTGACAAATGTGGACGGATGGGTGATTCCCAGTTTTGGGTCCAATTTTCTTTTAATGGGTCATTTTGCTCTGAAGGGGTAATTCATTCCACCACCCCTCTACAAAACTGGAGACATGGTTTAAATCTCGTATCTACTGGAAGGCTGCAAGTGTGGTGAGAGTGCTCCAAATTCATGGGGACTCATTTAGGAACTGAAGAGGAAAAGAGATGTGAAAAAGGAGAGATGGTTCACTTGGGTGAGGTACAAGGTTTCTGGCTGTATAAAAGCAGCTGCAGAATGAGGCAAAGACAAACGGCAGCAAATCAAAAACACTTGAATGCAGTGGACTATTAAAAAGCTTTGGAGGTGTCTTCCCATGTAGTGTAGCTTTATCATTGCTCCAGCTTCTGCAGGCTTTTTGGTATCCTCATCTCTGCACACAATTATAAACCTCATTACCAGAAAGGATTTCTTCAGGCCTGAAGGCAGTCCAGCTCACTGTGCTAACAGGGATGGACTTGGAGGAAGACTATTTTAAACTCCCGATCATATGCGGTATGAAGTTTAACATGATTTGCAGTGAGGCTCTGAAGAGTTCTGGAGCTCTATATTCAAGCCCATCCGTATGCACAGACAAGTGAAATCTTTTCATACAAACAGGGTGGAAATTCTTGGCTTTTCCAGGAACCGGCCTTATTTCCAGCGGATCGTGGTTTGGATTCCCAGCCTGCCCTTGGCATTCCAGTTTTCCCCCTGCTTGCCACAGCTAGATTGTGTTTGCTGTTTCTGGACCGAAATGCTGAACAAGATCCTAGTGCCTCAGGTAGGCGATGTTTTACCATGGAGGAAGAAATCCCTGTCTGAAGTCAGGGAATGGAACCTCCTAGTTAACAACTGGCAAACCTACAGGAAAGGAAT